AACGAACAATTTGGAGTAGTGTATCGGATCCCATGCCTAAGCTTTCCCTCTAATTACACAGGCCAAACTGAACGCACTTTAACTGATTGTTCACAGGCTATAACCGGACACTCTTTTATTGCTGCTTCCCATATCTGACGATGGACTCCGGTAAGAGTCCGAAAGCTCAGAATAAAATACAAGACCTGTGTTGGTTTGTTCAACCGGCAAATTTCTGAGCTAGCTTAGCACATGGAATCGCATGGTAACTGTGTTTTGGGAGGGAGCGAGGAGATTGAAAAAGGTTTCTTCTGCCGTAAATTGTATGTGGCTGCCGGCGGGGCTTGAGAGTGAGCCCCAAGACACGACGGGGCGAGTAAATCCCATAATCGATCTATGAGCACCAGTCTACTATCCCGGTCGAAATCGACAAGAAAATGAGCTCGTGGTGCGGTGGTTAGAGCGTTGGCCTTCTAAGCGAACGATCGGTTCGGGTGCCGCAACATCTAGGATTGGCTACGGATGGCTGGCAATGGCTCAGAAGCCAAAAATGACCATTCCAGTCGCCCTTGCGCCTCTGTCGGCAGTGTCATTCTACCTGTATTATTAACTACTGTCCGGCTGCTAACGGGACTCGAGAGGGAGCCCGAAGGCATCATCAGAAGAATGAGTATCGTAACCGATTGGTATACGCCCATGCATTAGCCTCATAAATCGGTTTGTATTTTTGAAATATTCGAAGCTGGAATGGTTAAGGTGGTAACAGAGAGGTGAATATCTCTCCCAAAATGTCAAGAAACCTGCTGCAAACTGCGCAAAAAATTCTGATAAGATGTGCACGCAATCACTGCAAAAAGATGTTCACTTGCTTCGACGCTGTGCAGACGTAAAACCACTACACCCCTAGCTACCTTGTCTCCTTTGCCCCTGGGGTCTCTGATGCATTTCAATAGAAAGTCCAGATGTCATGAAAAAATAACGTTTCTCCCAAGTGCTGATGTTTTTATTTTCCGTGGTTACTTAGAGATCAGCTTTTAGGAGGTTTTTCTCTCCCAGTAAGGAATAAAATTAAGTCAGTTTTTGAAATCAATTTTTTAGGAATTTCACTTATTTTGAAAACTGCTATTTTCTTTTTCACAGTGTGCCTTTCAATTCAAAATGGTATTTTCTGTCAATGGATACCTCAGCATCTTGCCTACCATAATCCGTGTGTATCATCACAACCTACACAATGGAATTCTCACCCAGGCCATCGAATTCACCTGCAAACATTTCTACATCATGCATAGGACGCCTTTTATCCTCCAAATGTTTGGATGTATCGCCAATTACATCGACCTCTCTCAGGACGACTTCAGTCAGCAAAACTTCTATCGAGTATGTTAACTAGCACGCAGTTAGTTACATTAAATTTTTTAGGTTATCATAACCAAAGGCAGGTCTTACGCGTTCATGTGGCGGTATATTATTGCATTTTTCGCCAATAGCAGCAGCTGCTACATTTTCTCGCGTAATTATCACCTGTTCGGAGGCCGCCTTTTGATCTTTGTCCTTCATGGTCGGCGAATTAAGCCGCTTCTTAGTATGTTGACTTGAGATTAACCACGGAATACCGGGAGGGGGCAGGAGAAGGTTGGACAGAGTGTCTACTTGAAGTCCGTGTGAAGGTTGAAAAGCTGTTTTCCTACACGCGTCCCCTTCCATTCTCAGAAGTGCAAGAGCCGATGTCGCATCTCATCACATCTCCCCCTCCGATCATGGCTAAGTAACCGCTCAAAAGTTCAGAAGGTTCTGTTTTTCCCCAACGGTATCATTATCGTAGCTGAGATCTCGGTGGTTTCTTCTCTAATTTCAAAGAAACGTCTTCTAGATACTGTGCTTCAAAAAGTCAGCCGGCGGTCGTTCTTAAATTTTACTCTTCGGGTTATCGAGGTTACATAAATGCTCAGTCTTTCAGAACACAGCAAAGGAGTCGCATAGGGTTTGAAGTAAGATCAATGGTAAGGTCGGGGGTTTCAATAATCACTGAAATTACCTCCTATAATCGTACATCGGACTGCGTTAGAGGCAAAATCATCGAAAATGGTTTATGCTGCAGAACGCGTCGTGTTCCAGTTGAGTAGCTTTTACTTCTGACGAGCATGCCTTCCCCACAGAAAATGATTTAAGTTTATTAGGATTAAATTGTCCTCTTAGACCTCAGTATGCGTTGCTTAAATCCAAAAATGTTTATCCTAGCAGGATCCTCTGGACGGAATAAATACACAGCGTTCAGTAGGCGCACAGCCGTTTAGATCCCGATGTTTCATACAGCACCTGCGGTTGTTCATTGCCAGGGACCTTTGTTCATAGTCACCCATTCCTGCAGACCGGGAAACAACATTGTTTCGTCTCCTTGACTTCTTAGACTGTATCCAGCAGTCCTGCGTACTTCAAACCCAATGATAACAACTATCAAGGCAGTATGGTATATTAATGAAAAAATAGTAAGGGATAAACAATATACAAACATCAACAATGGTTACACCAAGTCAAGAGCGAAGGTAGTCGGCCATATCGCCTGACTCTAGACAAGGGAACAACACGAGTTCAACAATAATGCCATGCAGGGTGAAACTAGTCTTGGGAAAGCTTGTGTGTGTGGGAGAGAGGGGGTGTGGCTCTGTTTTTATATGATTTCAGAAGGCCATTCCTATGGCCTCAGGATTGGTCTGTAAA